CTGTAGGAGTCTGGCAGCTCATCTGGTGCTGAGCTGGGATCCTAGTGGTGGTTTCTGGCATGTGTTGAGGCCTGGTGGGGTGTTTCTGCATTTCCCCATGGCTATACTGAAGCACATGGTAGTCTCGCCTCTAGGAATGTCTATTGCCCAGAGCTGTGCTGAGTACATGGAGGTCTGGCCCCTGGAGGATGCCTGTTTGCCTGGAACTATACTGAAGCACTTGGTAGCTTGTGGAGCTGAAGTCTGCTGGTTCCCCTGGCTATGCTGAGACACATGGGGAGTCCTGGTGATGGTGTTTGCATGCTCCACCGCACTGGGTCACCCCACTGTTTGCTGAAGTGGGGCTTGCTGCTGGCTTGCTGGGATGCTTTGTGCTCCCCTTTCAGCCAAGTGAGATGTACCTTTCTTGCCAATCTTTCAAGTCTCTTGGGCTAAAAGATAGTTTCACCCTGTCTTTTTGCTGATTTTGCTATTCCAGGATTTGTTTTGGGACTCTATTTTATGGTAGTTTGGAGGTGAGTATGGGACAGTTACAGCAATTTACTGCTTATTCCGCAATCTTGGCTCCTGGAGGTCCTTCATAGAATATTAGAGTGAATTTTTATTTTTTAGTGGTTGTGAATCTCTTTTAGCACGCTGCAATGTTTCAGGGATTAATATAGCCTACACAAGTTCATTCAAAAACAAAGACATCTAGAAGACTTCCCTAGGGAACTACTCTTCTATTTTGACTCTTTGTTGGACATCATCCATAACAGAGACAAACCAAAAGTAAGCATTTTATTATGTTCTGCCTCATCTGATAAAAAATAACTGGAGTATCTCTCATACATTTCTGCTTTAATGCCTCATGACATGGAGATGACCCTGGATTCTGAAATGCTATGCTAGGAAATCAGTATTAGGCTACCCACAGAAGTTATGAATTAAAGAAAAATACAAAATATTCCTTAGTCTTATGTGGCCTCCTTCCACTTCTCCAGGGGCAGAGGGTACTAAGAATCACAGTTCTCTGACCACCATCACTTTAACTTACCTCAGATTTTTATAACAAATTCTTTTCACCATCAGTCTTGGGTATACTTATGTACAAGAGATACAAATGGCAAGAAAAGGAAAAAAGATAGGCAAAACAGCTAGATAAGACAAAGTATATATAGAAAAGGTTTGTGGTGGAGACCACACAATTTGAGGGTATTGGGGGAATCAATTAATTTGTAAGGTAGCTAAATGAGATGAAGGTATCAGAGATATAGGAAAAAATCTCAGACCCTTAGCGCAAAAAAGCAGTTGGGGGGGGGACTCATGAGAATGTTAATAATTACTGATTCCCATCTATATCAAGATTTTTCCTAAGAATATTTTACATATTCATCAAGATCCTCCTTGTTGATGGTATTAATGTGGAAGTCTTTCACAAGTAATGATGCATAGCAAGTCACATCTTTACCATCACACAACTAAAAACAATGACACCACTATGCTTACTGTTTGATTATAAAAAACAGTTTTTAATTCAGGAGGAAAAAAAATGACATGTTAAAGTCTCCCTTTGATTTTATCAGTATGAATGGCATCAAAGAAAATGCATTAACATCTGCTTTGCAACTGCATCCCAAGTACTATGGAACCTTTCCATTTGACTTGCAGATGAAACCTTCTGTATGGTTGTCTTTCCCATTACAATGTGAGCTCCTTGACAGCAGGGGTGGTCCTAAACATCTCCTGTACTTAGCACAGCTGTTTCCACATAGTAGGTACTTAATAAATGTATAATGGGGGTCTGGCATATGTGTAGACACCAACAGTTTGCTAAGATGGTATCATCCACATGAAACTCACTAAAGAACTGCTTCTAGGAGAATTAAGACTGGAGCATGGGTAGACACTTTGGATTGGCCTATCATTGTTGGGATGAGCCATTTTCAATTGTTACATAGACAGAACTGTTGTCATCTTTAAAGGGGCCTGAGCCAATATCAGCTGGGGCTGTTGTGGCATTTGTAATTAGAAGGAAGTGAATCCTTCACATACACCATGCAATAAGAGGGAGAGGACCTTGGGGCTGCCTCTTCCACTCTTCCCAAGACATGTGAATGTGAGAAAAAGAGCTAGACATTTGGCCTTTTCCCTTGTTATTGTTCATTCTAAGTCCATGAAATGGAATCTCAAATTCACTAGGAACTCAAGCCATAAGAATTTAGGAGTCCAGGAATACAAGGTAGACAACTAGTAAGAGGCTGAAGAGCAAGGATAAAGGGACTCCAGCTCAGAAGAAGCCTGCATTGTGCTAGCTTTGGACATGAACTTGGTTGGACTAATGTTATGTGGGAGTTGAGCTAAGATGTGAGTCAAATCCCTTCCCCCACCATTTGCCTATCTAAGAGACTGAGGGGGTTTATGCCCCAGAAGTACTGGGGGAAATGTCTCTATGTTTGCTCTTATCATATCTTTGAAGTAAACATAACCTTGTAAAAGCTAATCTGACATTAAATGGAATGGTGGTACTAGTCATTGGCCCCCTTTAAATGAGGAACAAAGCTGGTGAGGGATTGAGTCAATGGCAGAGAAATTGATAATTCTTCAGGCTATCTGAGAATCCTGATGGGTAGAAGATTTATGATACCCAATATGATACCCAAATAGCAAATACCGTAATAAGTAGTGTGGCTTACTAAGTTATGTTCATTGTTTTTTCAAGGAATCTTGAATAATTTTGATTCACATATGAGAGTTACTCTGTTGGAATGTATGATGAAAAATCATTTGTAAAATGATTTATATTGACCACACTGGGTCTCATAAATCCCAGCCTGAGGGTATACAAGATCTCCTAGGAACTGAGGAAACATGATAACATGGAAGCACCTTGTGAGGGTATGTAGTATGTGAACCCACCATTGCTAGGAGGATGCTGCTACCCTGGATGGACTATAAACCTTACTTTGCTTGCTTATTTGCTTATGGAGCGATCAGTTTGGAGATAACTCGCTGTTCTATTACTAGTATTATTCTATTATTACTTCACAATCACTTCTGAGACCCTGTGAATTTATCCACTCTCCATTTTCTCTTGTTCTCCCTGTTTTATTACTGCCCAACAAACTGGTGTAGCTTTTCTTTTGGAATCTCTCACTCTTTTAAGTGTTGTTTAGTCATTTGTACTTTGAAGATGGTTTTGGTCTTCAGATAAAGATTAGCCAGTTTTATTGTATTCTGAGTGAGCGTTATAGAGGGTCTGGATAGGAAGAATCACAGTGATTAAATAAGGCCATACAGAATGGGCATAGGGGATAGTCCCTGTCCAATGCTAGTGAAAAAAAAATGTTTCTTCACTCATCTGGAGATTCTGAGCTTTTTGATTTGTGGAGGCAAAGAAATGGAAATTGCAGGGATGCCCATCAATTGGGAATGGCTGAACAAACTGTGGTATATGACTGTGATAAAATACTACTGTGCTATAAGAAATGATGAACTCAATGATCTTAGAAAAACATAGAAAGACTTGTATGAAATAATGAAGAGTGAAATGGGCAGAACCAAGAGAACCATTGTACATAGTAACAGCAATATTGTTTTAAGAACGACTTTGAGTGAATAAGTTATTTTTTCTATTATAAATACCCAAATTATCTATAAAGGACATATGAAGAAAGATGCTATTTGCATCAAGAGAAAGAAGTGACAAATAAAAGTATGTATAGAATAATAATATACCTGTTTGTGTCTAATAATGATCATCTCTAGGGTGGGGGTAGGGGAAGGGAAGTTAAAAAAAGAAATTTACTTAATAACTCTGCTGTATATTTCAAAGGAATAGCAAGTTGTACACAGTAGACTTGCAGTTTCATGTGCAATTATCTTTTTTTAAAAATTATACTATGTTATGGAAATGTTTGTTTTGTTCATAAATTAAAAATAAAAATAAATTTTAAAAAAGAACAATTTGGAACTATGCCCAAAGGGCTATAAAACTGTATACTTTTTGACTCAGCAACACCATTACTAGGTTTGTATCCCAAAGAAATTAAAGAAAAAGGAACAGGATCTCTGTGTATAAAAACATTTATAGTAGCTCTTTTTGGGGTGGCAAAGAATTGGAAATTGAGGGGAAGCCCATCAATTGGGAATGGCTGAACAAGTTGTGGTGTATTATTATGATGGAATACTATTGTGTGATAAGAAATGATGATGAAGATAGTTTCAGAAATCCTGGGAAGACTCACAGGAACTGTTGCAAAGAGAACTGAGCAGAACCAGGAGATCACTGCACACAGTAACAGTAATATGGCAATGATGATCAACTGTGAAAGACAAAGCTACTTTTATCCAAAGGACCCATGATGAAAAATGCTATCTACCTCCAGAGAGAGAACTGAAGAACTTTGAGTGCAGATTGAAGCATACTTTTTTTAACTTTCTTTACTTTTTTGTGTGTGTGTGTGTATGTTTTCCTTTGCAACATGGCTAATATGGAAATATGTTCCGTATGACCTCACGTAACAATTGAAATAAAATTGCTTGCTTTTTCTTCAAGGAGGGAGAAAAGGAAGGAGGTAGGGAGAAAATCTAGTACCATTTTCCTTAATGTTAAATGTTTTTACATGTAATTGGGAAATATTTTACTCCCATTTGGGGAGTGAGAGAGTGGGGAGATGGATGTCGGGAAGGAGGGGAACACAGCAAACTTTACAAAATACTTCACATACTCCCCTAAGCTAAAAATTGTACGGCAACGGCACTTCGGTTTCAGATCCCTGCAATTCAGCTCCTAAATGTTCCTCTCCAGTCCAACAAAACTTTTTGATTCACAGCTGAAAACAACTAAATGTAGGAAAACCCCTGAGCAACGGGAAGACAGGTACTTTCAAACCCAAATGATCAATTATGCAGAATGGCCTAAATACATTACTTCCAAAAATGCCTGGGAACTAAATGGAAATGTATTGAGCAGGGGTAGGGGCAAGTGATGAGAATACTGAAAGTAAATGTCCACTCACCTTCTGTGGCGGGGTCCCAATAAGCATCTCCAGGTAGTAGCCCCTTCCAGAGTCCCCTTGCAAATTGTCTACCATGGACAAGAAGTTGACTAATCCCCTCGTTGGGTCCAGCGCTAGAGCCAGCCCCTCTGCAGCCACATCCCGCAGGCGTCCCCGGGACTCATTCCCAAGCGGTGCAGCTAGCGTTGCAGTTAATGGGGGTAGGCGAGGAGAAGCCCCATTTAGCTTGATTGGGGAGACTTTCAGAGGTAAGGTGAAGGTATTTGGAGTCTGAGCCAGTGCCTGAGTGGTCCAGCGGAATAATAGCTGCAACAGAAGCAGTAGTTGCGTCTCCGCTAGAGTGCACATTGGTAGCAGCTACTTTGGGTACTTTGCTGGAAACAAAAAGCAGGAGGGAGGCAGCCACAGCTAGGCTCGCGGGACTGTGGTACGGAAGGAGGAGCCAGCATGGGAAGACTTCCTCGACTCCCTCCAAGCGGAATCTCACCCCCTGGCTTCACCTGGGCACCGAGAAGTAGAGGCAAAGCTTTTTTTTTTTTTTCTTTCTTCTCAACTCCCACAGTAGACCGGCGGTAATTCTGTCTCCAGTACTCAACATTCTTTCCCCACCCACTTTTGTTTGTCTTTCTCCTCCTCCCCTAAAAACAATAAGTCCAGGAATTTCCCAAGACTGGAACTAAGACTGAACTAAGACTCAGGCCTGAAGGGTATAAGAAAACGTTCCAGAATTCTTAAAAGGACAAAGACCTAAAATTATTCCAATTATTAGATAAACCTGTGACCTGCTTCCCCCATGTGGTTTGCGGAAAACGGCCAGTCTTTACACCACAACTCATGGAAGCCTTCTCAGTATAAGAAGACTAGCACATACCCGAGGTAAGGCAGGAACATCTGCTGCGTCACTCTCAGCATGGTAGGTCAACAATCTTTTTGCACTCTAGGATGTTGAGAGTTTCCGGCTTGCTGGCTTAAGCTGACTCCAAGTTTTTGTCATTTAAAGAAAACATTACTCTGATCGTCAGGATGATATATTTAGAGGTATGGAATCTGTGTAAATGGAGGTAGAATGAAGAGATTGGTGTAACAAAACAAAAACTTTGGATGTAGCTAACCTGGCCAGTGCCTGCTTTTGGTGCTTATGTTTCCTCCATCCCCCAATTATACAACTTTAATCATTTCTGGACTTGTCTCTCACTGCTGAAAAAAGAACCTTTCCCTTACTTTTCACAAAACCAGTTGTTGGCTGCCATCCAATGTGTAAATATAAGTATTTTAAATTATACATATGTAAAATGGGCCATACAGCAGTACCTCCAGCTCTCCTTAGCTAGAGGAATTTGTAAGACCTTTGAAACAAGAACCCCACACAAACCCATTCCGTAACCTAATCCATGATTTCTGTGGTATTCGACTTTTTATTAACATAATAAATGAAAGGAACAATTACACAAAGATAAAATTCTTTGATTTCCACTGAAATGGGAATAGAAAAACTATTTCTTAGTCCATCCATTGAACTATGTTAATTATTTTAAAAGCAAATTTAATAGACACTTCTGGCTAGGTGATGGGCAGCTCAGCATTCTCGCTACTCTAGAACAGGTTTAAAAAAAAGAGTACAAGAGAAATGATCAAGAAATCTAAAGAGAAACTACATAGGTCAGCACAAAGAGATTGTCAGAAGCCTACAGACATAGGAAACGGGTTCAGCAAGAAAAGGCAAGTGCTGGAACATAGTTCATAGGACCCTTTCAGTACAGGGACCAGAGAAATTGTATAACCATGGACAAGAAGACTAGCACAGACCAGAGTTTAGGCAGGGACACCAGCTATGTCTTATCCTAGACCAGAATCAGGAACTCAGTCTAGTAGATCAGTAATCTTTTTTTTTTTCACCCTAGGATGTTGAAAGTTTTCAGCTTGCTAGCTTAAACTGCTCCCAAGTTTTTGAAGAACATAGACATAGTAGTCAGTAGCAGGACCTTGTATAATACAAATTAGAACCAATCAAAGCCCCACTTTTCATTCTTTTGTTGTTGTTCAAGTCATTTTTCAGTCCTGTCCAACTCTTTGTGACCTTTTTTGGGTTTTCTTGGCATAGATACTGGAGGAGTTTGCCATTTCCTTCAACAACTCATTACACAGATGAAGTAAGTTAGGCAAACAGGGTTAAATGACTTGCCTAGGCCACACAGCTCTTAAGTGTCTGAGTGATCAGATTTGAACTCAGGAAGAGAGAAGTCTTCCTGACTCCAAGCCTGACTCTCAATCCACTTTACCACCTAACTGCCTTACCTTTCCTTTTAGAAGTGTGCAAAGCCCTGCCCTGACCCAAAAACCCAGTTAAGGAAGAAGGCCTGAAAAATAAACAAAAGAAATTGATAATGAAGGTATGGGTCCAGAGAGGCCCAAGACACAAAGCCCAAAGAACATTACAACTTTTACAAGCAAAACCTCAAAGAAAAACATAGCTTTCCCATGAGACCTACTATAATGTTTTTAGTATTTTATTTTTATTTTTCCCCAGTTACATGTAAAAACAATTTTTAACATTCATTTTTAAAACTTTGAGTTCCAAATTTTCTCTCTTCCTCCTCAAACCCTGCTCCCCCCAGAAGGCAAGCAGTTCGATGTAGGTTATACATGTGTAATCTTGCAAAGTATATCCATAATAGTCATGTTGTGAAAGAAAACATAGACCAAAAAAAAAACCTCGAAAAACAGACTGAAAGAAAAATAAAGTAAAAAATAGGTGTGCTTCAGTCTGTATTCAGAAACCATCAGTTCTTTGTCTGGGGATGGATAGCGTTTTTCCTCATGTCCTGCTCATCATTTCTTAGAGTACAATAGTCTTTCATCATAATCAAATACCACCACTTGTTCAACCATTCCCTAATTGCTGGGCATCCCTTCAATTTCTAATTCTTTGCCCCCAGAAATGAACTATAAATATTTTTGTAGATATAGGTCCTCTTCCTTTTTTTTCTTATTTCTTTTGGGATACAGACCTAATAGTGGTATTGCTAGATCAAAGGGTATGCATGGTCTTGTAGCCCTTTGGGCATAGTTCCAAAGTGTTCTACAGAATGGTTGAATCCATTCAGAACTCCACCAACAGTGCTTTAATGTCTCATTATTCCCACATCCCTTCCAACACTTGTCATTTACCTTTTCTGCCCTATTAGCCAATCTAATAGGTATAAGGTAGTACCTCAGAATTGTTTTGATTTGCGTTTCTTCAAACAATAGTGAGTTAGAGTATTTTTTCATATGGCTATAGATAGCTTTGATTACTTCATCTGAAGACTGATCTTATTTTGGGGTCATTTATCAATTGGGGAATGGCTTTTTTTTTTTTATAAATTTGACTTAGTTCTCTATATGTTTGAGAAATGAGACCTTTCTCAGAAAAGCTTCAATTTTTTCTGTCTACATTTCCCTCCATCCTGTCCCCCTCCCCCCCTAGAATTCTTGGCAAAGAGGAACCAAGAGTTTGAAAATGTTAATATAAATAAGATCAATGTTATATAGGAAAGAATTAGAAATGAAATGAGAACTTTAGAGGAAAGAAATAAGAGAGTTAACAGTTTAGTACAGGAGGTCCAAAACTTACCAAAGAAACAGATATCCTGAAAATTAGAATGTATTAAGGACAAATCAATGATTCCTTGAGACAGCAATGAATAACAGATAAAAAATGAAAACACTAAAAAAAAAAAAAGAAAACTATCACATCTCCTGTCAAAAACAACTGATTATAAAATGGATCAAGGAGACATCATCAGTCAATCTTTGGGCTATCTGAAAAATGCAACTAAAAAGAAGTCTCAATGCCCTATTTAACAAGAAATATGAGAACAAGAGTGAAAAGTGAAAATAAAAGTAATTAGTCATTTTCTGAAAGAAAACCAAAACATGTCATAGCAAAACAGAAATGTCATAGCAAAATACAGTACTTCCAGGTCAAAGGAAAAAAAATACTGTAGGCAGCCAGAAAGAAAGAGATCAAGTATGAAGGAGCCATAGTCAGAATCACAAAACACTATGCAGCTACCACACTATAAAGGAGAGAAGAATTTGGAATACAATTTTCTAAAAGGCAAAAGAAAATAGCTTACAACCACAAATAACTTTCATGGCAAAGCAAAATTATCATAAGTGGGGAGAAGAGGAGGAGAGATGGATCTTTTATGAACTAGAGGGCTTCCAAGCCTGCCTGATGAAAAGTTAGAGATGAGAAGATAGTCTGAAATGCAATCAGAAGAATCAAGAAAAACCCTTCAGAACGCTAACAGTCTTCATTGGTTGTGGAGGGAGTTAAATAAGACAGAAAACTATCTTCAATGGTCATGGAGGAAATTAAAGAAGACAGAAGACTAGGAAATGGTTTTATTGTGCTTTTATGATCTTAAGGGAAAAAAAAAGGAGAAACAAAAAAGGGTGTGGTGTTTATTACCATACATAACTGGAGCATTTGAGAAGAAGATTATAAAAGCATGGAAGTAGTGGGTGTATCAGAAATCACATGAACCTCATTGTTATCTGAAGTGAGCAAAAAATGTTTTATGGACAGTTCAGGTGAAATGTAAAATGTCTAATTAGCAGTCTTGTGAACTGTTTTATATTCTAATAAGGCTTAAAAGTGTCAACCTCACAGTAGATTCTAACAGTAAAGTAACAAATTCTGTTATAAGTCATTCTGTTAATGCATAGTATGAATCTTTTACGTTTAACATTTCATTTGTGTTCTTTCTCATAATTACCCCACACATGATTGATATTTCATTGTTGAATACTTTATTATTCCCCTTGAACCTCCTCCAATGTGGTCTGGGCTCATTCTTTTGCTTAAAATGTATTAAAACTGCCTTTGAGACTTACTTAGCATCAGGCTGTTGATTTTGCCTACTATTCCCCTGAGATCTAGCTTTTTCCTCATGCTTTACTGGTGGACATTCATGGACATCTCAGAGGTAAGGAAGCTGCATTCAGCTGAAGCGAGAGGGTATATTTGCTGACTATACTTGTTGAAAATCCTTCCCTTGCTGTGGCCAGATATATTTCTATTTATTAACTGTGGGTGAACTATGTATATCTGATTTCATTCCAATCTCCTACTTACATTACTAGGATAACGGTCTGGCCTGAAACATGGGGTAACTTAAGCTTTGGATTAGCCCTAAACATTATCTGTGTTGAGATAACAGTTGAATCCATGGGAGCTGATGAGATCACCAATAGGAGTAATATAGAAGGAGAAAAGAAAAGACCCCAAACAGAGCTTTGGGAGAACCTGAATGAAAGTCCAGCAAAGGAGACAGGAGTAGGGAGAGGTAGGTGGAGAATCAAGAGAGGGCAATGTTATGAAAACCTGGAGAGAAGAGAGTATCAAGATGATTGACAGTGTCAAATACTGCAGAGAGGTCAAGAAGAATTAAGAAAAGGCCATTAGATTCAGCATTTAAGAGATCATTAGTAACTTTGAATGATGACATTGGAAGCTAGACTACAGAGGTAAGAAGAGAGTGAGAGGAAAAAAGTGGAGGTGACAATTATAGACACCTTTCTCAAGGTT